TCATCAACCCATCCATCTATCCACCCACCTGTCCATCCATCCATTTATCCACCTATCCATCCATCCACCCACTTGTCCATCCATCCATCCCTCCCTCCTACCTTTCTTCCTTCCTTCCTGCTTAATACTAAATAGAAACATTTAAAGTCAGACTCCAGACATTTTTTATATATTTGTTTTGGTGTTTTTTTCACAGATTGGGAAGTCAGAGAAAATCTCAGCACTTTCCATTTGGTGATATCAGCTAAGAACAGAAAGTTAGGGCAAGCCCCCAATAGGAATCCATAAAATAGTTGGCAAAAGTTACACTCTCACATCAAAAAATATTATTGGGGACCTCACAAGAACCGTGTCATTTTAAAAGATTTCCCTTCACTTCCTGTCCTGTAGACACAACAGGAAGTGATAGAAAATCTTTCCAAAGCCAAGGAAATGTCCTCTCGTTGTCACCGGATCCAGCATTCACTTCAAAGGTTTTATTCCCAATTTCTGTTTTGTGGACAACCCCAATTTAGGATTTTCCTTCACTTTCCATTCAAGTGACTTTACAAAAAACACGCTTTTTCCTTTGGATACATTCTGCGCTCATTGTAACCATCTCAGCTTATACAAGGTTTTTGTTATGACCTCTTTTTATAAGTGGAGATTTCCAGCCAACAAAGTTGCAATTTATTCCCTGATCTGAACGTTCTCTACTCCTTTAGTAAATCAGCCCGATCTTCCAAGAGTCCATCTCCGGATACATCACAATAAAACAAGATGAGGAAATTGAACACAGAATCGGTGTGAAGTCCAAACAGAACAGCTGGACATTCGCAGCAGAAACTGAAAAAAAAAAACCGAATTGATAGAAGTGAGAACATGACAAGCCGCGCATGATGAGGCATAGTTTCCAGCAAACCTCACTTCCAATAAACAAGCAGGAGAGGTATGTAAGCGCTGTTCTTTAAGAATTCTAATTACATAATAGCTCTCGTGGGAATTTGTGTCCATCTCTGCTTTGAACATTTTTTTTCCGAGGACGCAGGTGAAATTCCAGAGCAAACATCGCAATGTGCTCGCAAATATGTATTTATGTCAGCTGTCCAATCACAGCTGTGCGTGGTCAGGTAAGTGTCGAAGAATCAACATTACAGATCACAAATTCCTCCTTTCCTTCTGAATGGCTTCTTCAGATTGGATCTGATCACACCAAAACAGCTAATTAAAGCAGAACTCAAGTTTCTCAAATTAATATAAATAGAAATTGTCCATAAAAATAATTAATGGAGCTTTTGGTGTAATACTCACCTTCCCTCCAGCACTGTCTACCTTCCTTCCCATGCTGTCCCCCATAGAAACCTTCTCTTCAGTGCTGTCCTCTATAGAAACCTTCCTTCCAACACTCCCCCCATAGAAACCTTCCCTCTCGTACTGTCCCCCATAGAAACCTTCCCTCTCATACTGTCCCCCATAGAAACCTTCCTTCCAACACTCCCCCCATAGAAACCTTCCCTCTCGTACTGTCCCCCATAGAAACCTTCCCTCTCATACTGTCCCCCATAGAAACCTTCCCTCTCGTACTGTCCCCCATAAAACCTTCCCTCTCGTACTGTCCCCCATAGAAACCTTCCCTCTCATACTGTCCCCCATAGAAACCTTCCCTCTCGTACTGTCCCCCATAAAACCTTCCCTCTCGTACTGTCCCCCATAAAACCTTCCCTCTTGTACTGTCCCCCATAAAAACCTTCCCTCTCATACTGTCCCCCATCGAAACCTTCCCTCTCATACTGTCCCCCATAGAAACCTTCCCTCTCATACTGTCCCCCATAGAAACCTTCCTTCCAACACTCCCCCCATAAAAAACCTTCTCTCTCGTACTGTCCCCCATAGAAACCTTCTCGTCAGTGCTGTCCCCCATAGAAACCTTCCTTCCAACACTCCCCCATAGAATCCTTCCCTCTCATACTGTCCCCCATCGAAACCTTCCCTCTCATACTGTCCCCCATAGAAACCTTCCCTCTCATACTGTCCCCCATAGAAACCTTCCTTCCAACACTCCCCCCATAAAAAACCTTCTCTCTCGTACTGTCCCCCATAGAAACCTTCTCGTCAGTGCTGTCCCCCATAGAAACCTTCCTTTCAACACTCCCCCCATAGAAACCTTCCTTCCAACACTTCCCCATAGAAACCTTCCTATCATACTGTCCCCCATAGAAGCCTTCCCTCCAGCACTGTCCCCCATAGAAACCTACCCTCCCACACTGACCCCCATAGAAACGTCCCTCCAGCACTGTCCCCCATAGAAACCTTTCCTCCTGCATTGCCCACCATAGAAACCTTCCGTCCAGTGTTGTCCCCCATAGATGCTTTCCCTCCAGCACTGCCCCCCATAGAAACCTTCCCTCCAGCACTACCCTCCATAGAAACCTTCCCTCTAGTGCTGTCCCCCATAGAAACCTTTCCTCCAGCACTGCCTCCCATAGAAACCGTCCCTCCCGTACTGTCCCCCATAGAAACCTTCGCTACAGTGATGTTTCCTATAGTAACCTTCCCTCCAACACTGCCCCCCAAAGAAATCTTCCCTCCTGCACTGTCCACCATAAAAACATTCCTCCCAGCATTGTCCCCCATAGAAACTTTCTCTTCAACACTGTCCCCCATAGAAACTTCCTTTCAGTGCTGTTCCATATAGAAACCTTCCTTCTAGTGCTGTCACCCATAGAAACCTTCCCTCCAGCACCCCGCCCCCCCCATAGAAACCTTTTCCTCAGCACTGCACCCCATTGAAAAGTTCTAGTGCTGTCCCCCATAGAAACCTTCCCTCCATTGCTGTCACCCATAGAAACCTTCCCACAAGCACTGCCCCCCCCCCATAGAAACCTTCCTTTCTGTGCTGTCTCCCATAGAAACCTTCCTTTAAGTACTGTTCCCAATAGAAACCTTCCTTCTAGTGCTGTCACCCATAGAAACCTTCCCTCCAGCACTCCCCCCCCGATAGAAACCTTTCCCCCAGCAATGCACCCCATTGAAACCTTCCCTCTAGCACTGCCCCCCTTCCCCGTATAGAAACCTTCCCTCCAATGCTGCCCCCCATAGAAAGCTTCCCTCCAGTGCTGCTCCATGTAGAAACCTGCCTTTCTTTTCTGTCTCATAGAAACCTTCTTTCAGCTATGTCCCCCATTGAAACCTTGCCTCCAGCTCTGTCCCCCATTGACACCTTCCCTCCTGCACTGTCCCCTATAGAAGCCTTCCCTCCCTCACTGTCCCCCACAGAAACCTTCCCTCTAGCACTGTCCCCCATAGAAACTTTTCCTCTAGTGCTGTCCTCCATAGAAACCTTCTATTAAAGAAGCAGAGTGAGGAAGTTGCTGGAAGGTCTCCAGCTGTTACCCTGCAACTCTAACCCCGAACCTCTTTCTGAGATCTGCTTTCCCCTTACTTACCCAATCTGCCCTTGGACTTGTTCTCACTCTGCTCTTCTGATGCTCCCTAGTTAGTTTCTGACCCATGCTAGTCCCTGCTGAATTCCAGTTTGATCTTGGTTAGCTCCTGACTATGGCTCACTTCTGGTGACCCTCTGGTGTGAGGTTGGCTTGCCTCATGGCCTCGATTCTACTGACTTCCTGGTGTGACTTTGCTTTGTCTCCTAAATGTGATTCTGCCTTCTGCTTTGCCTATAATCTATCTTCCTGGTTTCTGACCTCCACTTGTCTCAGACCACACTTCCAGTCTGTTGTTGGTTCTAGTGTTCCTACCAGCTGCTGTTTCAATCTCCTTCTTGGCGGCACCTACACCTTGTTCTTCGGTGATCTCCTCTGTGGTCTCCACCAGCTTGTCTACCAGGAATGAGCACCTGTGGACTAGACTCCCCTTGCCACTATGAGCCCTTTCATTCTCTGTCACCATTCCGGGGGGTGTTTGGACCAGAGATGCACGGGAAGCCCTCTTGTCATATTGACCTCTGACCAGGTATGTGATAGATACTCTTTAAAGGTGAGAGGTATGGACCCCCCTACAGCTAAAAGCATTGGGATAATGCACAGACAACCCAATTATAATCCACCAAATGGCCTAGGTAGGTCCGCCCTGTGCTTAGTTTTCAATCCAGATGTAGTTTTCGATCCAGATGTACCTGAAATCTTAAAGTGTGTTTTGCAGGTTGAGTTCCAAGAAGTAGAAAAGCAATTATGGGTCAACACTTTTGACAACAATACCAAATGCCATTTAGGAAACTCTTTACATCTGGATTGTGAAATACAAAAAAAAAGGTCCAATCTTCTCCACCATTGTGTATATCCTGTGTGTGTGTTGTTATAAATCCAAGCTTCTTCAAAATGCTCTTTGTAACAGTGCAATCAACACCAAAAAATGTTATATCATTTTAGATTACAGGAGTCCAAACCGTTTCTATTTACTTATGTCAACTAGTTCAAAGCAGGCTACACCCTATACTTTACCTCACGTCAAGAGCTAAATTGGCTGTAATGACTTAGCAAGTCTTAAATTACCTTGATTAGTGGAGCAATTTAGTGAACTTTTTCTTCTCTAAGTGTAAATCAACTTTTACCTACGTAGATCTACAATAAAAAAAAAATATATATATATATTCAGTCTCTTGTGGCCGTGCAAACATTTTGATATAGGAAAGGGGGGAGGTGGGATTTCTCAAACATCAAGTATGATGTAAAAGCTTAACTGGGCTGTAGTTCGTTTTTCCAACCATTTGCTTTGGATGTTTTGGGACAAAGATTTGGCATGGCTTTGGATATTGTTGTTGGTGATTCTGGGAAAGATAACCGTACATTGTGCAAGTAATCAAACTTTTAGGCCAGCCTTTCTCAACCTTTTCAACGAGGAACCCTTGAAATACCTTCCGGTCTCAGGGAACTCTTGCTAAAGATTATTATATCTACAACTTACATTAGTATGGTAGTCATTGAGAAGAATGTCCCTTACATTGGTGGTCAGTGGGAAGAATGTCCCTTACATTGGTAGTCATTGAGAAGAATGTCCCTTACATTGGTGGTCAGTGGGAAGAATGTCCCTTACATTGGTGGTCAGTGGGAAGAATGTCCCTTACATTGGTGGTCAGTGGGAAGAATGTCCCTTACATTGGGGGTCAGTGGGAAGAATGTCCCTTACATTGGTGGTCAGTGGGAAGAATGTCCCTTACATTGGGGGTCAGTGGGAAGAATGTCCCTTACATTGGGGGTCAGTGGGAAGAATGTCCCTTACATTGGGGGGTCAGTGGGAAGAATGTCCCTTACATTGGGGGTCAGTGGGAAAAATGTCCCTTACATTGGTGGTCAGTGGGAAGAATGTCCCTTACATTGGCGGTCAGTGGGAAGAATGTCCCTTACATTGGGGGGTCAGTGGGAAGAATGTCCCTTACATTGGGGGTCAGTGGGAAGAATGTCCCTTACATTGGGGGTCAGTGGGAAGAATGTCCCTTACATTGGTGATCAGAGGGAAGAATGTCCCTTACATTGGGGGTCAGTGGGAAGAATGTCCCTTACATTGGGGGTCAGTGGGAAGAATGTCCCTTACATTGGGGGTCAGTGGGAAGAATGTCCCTTACATTGGTGGTCAGTGGGAAGAATGTCCCTTACATTGGTGATCAGTGGGAAGAATGCCCCTTACATTGGAGGTCAGTGGGGAGAATGTCCCTTACATTGGGGGTCAGTGGGGAGAATGTCCCTTACATTGGGGGTCAGTGGGAAGAATGTCCCTTACATTGGTGATCAGTGGGAAGAATGTCCCTTACATTGGGGGTCGGTGGGAAGAATGCCCCTTACATTGGTGATCAGTGGGAAGAATGTCCCTTACATTGGGGATCAGTGGGAAGAATGTCCCTTACATTGGGGGTCAGTGGGAAGAATGTCCCTTACATTTGGGGTCAGTGGGAAGAATGCCCCTTACATTGGTGGTCAGTGGGAAGAATGTCCCTTACATTGGGGGTCATTGAGAAGAATGTCCCTTACATTAGGGGGTCAGTGGGAAGAATGTTCCTTGCATTGATGGTCATTGAGAAGAATGTCCTTTACATTGGGGGGCAGTGGGAAGAATGTCCCTTACATTGGTGATCAGTGGAAAGACATGAAGTCCAAGGAATTGTCCATAGACCTCCGAAACAGGAATGTATAAAGGCACAGATCTGGGGAAGGGTACAGAAAAATTTCTCCAGCATTGAAGGTCCCAATGAGCACAGTGGCCTCCATCATTTATAAATGGAAGAAGTTTGGAACCATCAGGAATCTTCCTAGAGTGGGCCGCCCGGCCTAAATGAGCGAGCGAGGGAGAAGGGCCTTAGCCAGGGAGGTAACCAAAGACCCAACGGTCACTCTGAAAGAGCTCCAGCGTTTCTCTATGGAGAGAGGACAACCTTCCAATGGGAATACTTTCTGGATGCGCTGTATGAATAGCGGAGACATCCGACCAATGGGAATACTTTCTGGATGCGTTGTATGAATAAGGGAGACACCCGACCAATGGGAATACTTTCTGGATGCGTTGTATGAATACCGGAGACATCCGACCAATGGAATACTTTCTGGAAGCGCTGTATGAATACCGGAGACATCCGACCAATGGAATACTTTCTGGATGCGTTGTATGAATAGCGGAGACATCCGACCAATGGGAATACTTTCTGGATGCGCTGTATTAATAGCGGAGACATCCGACCAATGGAATACTTTCTGGATGCGTTGTATGAGTAGGGGAGACATCCGACCAATGGGAATACTTTCTGGAAGCGCTGTATGAATACCGGAGACATCCGACCAATGGGAATACTTTCTGGATGCGCTGTATGAATAGCGGAGACATCCGACCAATGGAATACTTTCTGGATGCGTTGTATGAATAGCGGAGACATCCGACCAATGGGAATACTTTCTGGATGCGCTGTATGAATAGCGGAGACATCCGACCAATGGGAATACTTTCTGGATGCGCTGTATGAATAGCGGAGACATCCGACCAATGGGAATACTTTCTGGATTCGTTGTATGAATACCGGAGACATCCGACCAATGGGAATACTTTCTGGAAGCGTTGTATGAATAGCGGAGACATCCGACCAATGGGAATACTTTCTGGATGCGTTGTATGAATAGCGGAGACATCCGACCAATGGGAATACTTTCTGGATGCGTTGTATGAATAGCGGAGACATCCGACCAATGGGAATACTTTCTGGATGCGCTGTATGAATAGCGGAGACATCCGACCAATGGAATACTTTCTGGATGCGTTGTATGAATAGCGGAGACATCCGACCAATGGGAATACTTTCTGGATGCGTTGTATGAATAGCAGAGACATCCGACCAATGGAATACTTTCTGGATGCGTTGTATGAATAGCGGAGACATCCGACCAATGGGAATACTTTCTGGATGCGTTGTATGAAGAGCGGAGACATCCGACCAATGGGAATACTTTCTGGATGCGTTGTCTGAATAAGGGAGACATCCGACCAATGGGAATACTTTCTGGATGCGTTGTATGAATACCGGAGACATCCGACCAATGGGAATACTTTCTGGAAGCGCTGTATGAATACCGGAGACATCCGACCAATGGAATACTTTCTGGAAGTGCTGTATGAATACCGGAGACATCCGACCAATGGAATACTTTCTGGATGCGTTGTATGAATAGCGGAGACATCCGACCAATGGGAATACTTTCTGGAAGCGCTGTATGAATACCGGAGACATCCGACCAATGGAATACTTTCTGGATGCGTTGTATGAATAGCGGAGACATCCGACCAATGGAATACTTTCTGGATGCGCTGTATGAATAGCGGAGACATCCGACCAATGGAATACTTTCTGGATGCGTTGTATGAATAGCGGAGACATCCGACCAATGGGAATACTTTCTGGATGCGTTGTATGAATAAGGGAGACATCCGACCAATGGGAATACTTTCTGGATCCACTGTATGAATACCGGAGACATCCGACCAATGGGAATACTTTCTGGAAGCGCTGTATGAATACCGGAGACATCCGACCAATGGAATACTTTTTGGATGCGTTGTATGAATAGCGGAGACATCCGACCAATGGGAATACTTTCTGCATGCGCTGTATGAATACCGGAGACATCCGACCAATGGAATACTTTCTGGATGTGTTGTATGAATAGCGGAGACATCCGACCAATGGGAATACTTTCTGGATGCGTTGTATGAATAAGGGAGACATCCGACCAATGGGAATACTTTCTGGATCCACTGTATGAATACCGGAGACATCCGACCAATGGGAATACTTTCTGGAAGCGCTGTATGAATACCGGAGACATCCGACCAATGGAATACTTTTTGGATGCGTTGTATGAATAGCGGAGACATCCGACCAATGGGAATACTTTCTGGAAGCGCTGTATGAATACCGGAGACATCCGACCAATGGAATACTTTCTGGAAGCGCTGTATGAATACCGGAGACATCCGACCAATGGAATACTTTCTGGATTCGTTGTATGAATACCGGAGACATCCGACCAATGGGAATACTTTCTGGATTCGTTGTATGAATACCGGAGACATCCGACCAATGGGAATACTTTCTGGATTCGTTGTATTAATACCGGAGACATCCGACCAATGAAATACTTTCTGGATGCGTTGTATGAATAGCGGAGACATCCGACCAATGGGAATACTTTCTGGATGCGTTGTATGAATAGCGGAGACATCCGACCAATGGGAATACTTTCTGGATGCGTTGTATGAGTAGGGGAGACATCCGACCAATGGGAATACTTTCTGGATGCGCTGTATGAATAGCGGAGACATCCGACCAATGGGAATACTTTCTGGATGCATTGTATGAATAGCGGAGACATCTGACCAATGGGAATACTTTCTGGATGCGTTGTATGAATACCGGAGACATCCGACCAATGGAATACTTTCTGGATGCGCTGTATGAATAGCGGAGACATCCGACCAATGGAATACTTTCTGGAAGCGCTGTATGAATACCGGAGACATCCGACCAATGGAATACTTTCTGGATTCGTTGTATGAATACCGGAGACATCCGACCAATGGGAATACTTTCTGGACGCGCTGTATGAATAGGGGAGACATCCGACCAATGGGAATACTTTCTGGATTCGTTGTATGAATACCGGAGACATCCGACCAATGGGAATACTTTCTGGATTCGTTGTATTAATACCGGAGACATCCGACCAATGAAATACTTTCTGGATGCGTTGTATGAATAGCGGAGACATCCGACCAATGGAATACTTTCTGGATGCGTTGTATGAGTAGGGGAGACATCCGACCAATGGGAATACTTTCTGGATGCGCTGTATGAATAGCGGAGACATCCGACCAATGGGAATACTTTCTGGATGCATTGTATGAATAGCGGAGACATCTGACCAATGGGAATACTTTCTGGATGCGTTGTATGAATAGCGGAGACATCCGACCAATGGAATACTTTCTGGATGCGCTGTATGAATAGTGGAGACATCCGACCAATGGGAATACTTTCTGGATTCGTTGTATGAATACCGGAGACATCCGACCAATGGGAATACTTTCTGGAAGCGCTGTATGAATAGCGGAGACATCCGACCAATGGAATACTTTCTGGATGCGTTGTATGAATAGCGGAGACATCCGACCAATGGGAATACTTTCTGGATGCGTTGTATGAATAGCGGAGACATCCGACCAATGGAATACTTTCTGGAAGCGTTGTATGAATACCGGAGACATCCGACCAATGGGAATACTTTCTGGATGCGTTGTATGAATAGCGGAGACATCTGACCAATGGGAATACTTTCTGGATGCGTTGTATGAATAGCGGAGACATCCGACCCATGGGAATACTTTTTGGATGCGCTGTATGAATAGCGGAGACATCCGACCAATGGGAATACTTTCTGGATGCGTTGTATGAGTAGGGGAGACATCCGACCAATGGGAATACTTTCTGGATGCTCTGTATATATCAAAGTGAGGCAGACTTGATGGACCACTTGGTCTTTTTCTGTCACCCTGGCTGGACTTCAAACAAATCTTCATCTCCATTACATGGGGTGGGTTGGGTTAATAGTTTATAGAACAGTTCTTTCCATTTATCTCAGGTGAAGCGATATGGGCAGAGCATTTCTG